CCAAATTCGCCCCTCATTTGTAGGATTTCTGTGCATTAATACGCCATGTAGTGCTCTTTTGACTCTTCAAATGGTAAAGGAATGACAACTTAGTTCAAGTAGAAAATGGGGTTCCAACGTTCTTAATCACGCGTGAGTATTGCCTTTCACTGTACACCTGAGATTAGAAGTGTTGGGTGACCAACTTTGAAAAATTCATTTCCAGCCAGAAAAACATACCAGCAAGTAAAAAACATCATACCATCTAATAAATTTATGTTCAACTACGGATATCTTAATGGACAATGTGAGACAAGGAAACTGATTTCCAGTAGAAAAGGCTGACATCCAAGCCATATCACTACCAACAGGGCCCATTATACATTAAATGTGCCTGCTATCAAATAGAAACCAGCAAACTAGTTGTGTACAAAGGTAACTATTGGTTACATTCTGAATATTTTTGCATTTACGAGCGGAAAGTCCCAAAAAATTAATTGACACGAAACCTCTGAGAAGTACATGAGCACTGACATACGAATTCAAAAACTTGGCAGATTTGACAATTGCAAGTGTTTCGATGGTGAATTGTTAAAAGCCATTTAACGATAACTTCTAAGTTCATCGTATAAGCAAATACAATTAAGGTTAAGGTCTGTAAATTTAAGTGCACTAAAAATATTTAAAGTAGCTCAATTCTTGTACTTTATCCATTTACTGTATGAGCCGCTCATTTTGAGCTTTCAAGGCTGCCGATAATGCACAGGCGACCTGGTATCGCTGGGATAAAAGAGCGGGCGCAAATGCAAGCTAGGTATGGGGAAAAGAGTAAACAAATGGCCGAGGACGCCGCAGCGAATCTTCATCGCCAGTTAGAAACGGTTAAATCGTCTTTGGAATATTTCGCATCGAAATACCAGTCCAAAATAAGACAAGACCATGCTTTTCGAACGGAATTTCAATCAATGTGTGCTAATATTGGCGTCGATCCTCTTGCATCTAGTGATGGATATTGGTCGAAGATCTTGGGCATTGGTGATTTTTACTACCATCTTGCAGTTCGTATAATCGAGGTACAGCGTCCTAGGTAGTTCCTGTGCTTTGGTCTCCCGTGCATTTGTAAGCTTTTGGCTTTTACACTTCATAGTAAGGGATGTGTTATTAACCGAACGATTTCAAGGCTTTTGTTCAACTTCAAATTATCACCAATATCGCTTTTCGACGTGGCAGACTTTCGCGTAGCCTTAGTTCATTATAGACGCAGACTATCTGTTAGGTTTTATTTATGCCACTCACCCAGTTCGCACACTAATAGTCGATATTTGAGGTAGTGGTAAAGGCTTGTGCCGTTTACTGTTGTTTTCACATTGCTTTTGGCTAAGTTCAACCGTCGAACTTGGTAACGGTGTACAGTAATAAGTCGTTGTTTTTGATCGTAATACCAGCAAAACACCACTTTAAGCAAATACCCACTGCTTTGAAACTGTTGATTCCTTACAGGTTTGCATGGCAAACCAGCGGAAAACTGCTGGTTTGATGCCTCTTGAGGAGCTCATCCTCGAATTGAATGAAACGAAGAGCTCTCGTGAGACCGACATATGTCAAGACGATGTTGCAAGAGCCATCAAGAAGCTCCAGTGTTTGGGGAATGGTTTCAAATTGATAAGATTGTCAGATTCACGTCAACTGGTTCAGTCGGTTCCGGGAGAACTGAGTATGGATCAGACGGAAGTTTTAAAATTGGCAGAATCCCACGGAGCTCATATTAATGTGCAACAGTGTATGAAAAAGTAAGATAGCTGCATTTATTATATTTAACTGCGTATTTTGTAAATCTAACGTATTACACGACTACTTGTATCGATGTATCTTGCCTTGGAATAATCTATGTAGCTTATCAACTTTACATGAAATTGGATAATGTTTCATTCCATGCAGACTACCGTTGTAATCCTTCCCTTCTTTGGGCCCTCATTCTTCTCGACTTGCTTTGGTCTTTAAGGCTCTATTCAATGGGATTGAAGGTTATTCCCTCTACAAAATCCTAGCTAATGGCTAATTTTACCCTTTAGTTTAGGATGGACAGACGAACGTGCTCATGCGGCCCTGGATTATCTAACTCAAGAGGGCATGGCGTGGGTAGATGAAAATGATGCCGAGCGTTCTTTCTGGTTCCCCAGTTTATTGGGAACTAAGACGAATTGCTAATTACTTTTGTCCTCGTCGCTACCCGCTGACGAACAGACGCTCATTGTTATTTTATCGTTTTCATTTCCCAATAGTAGTTCCTACTGTTTTTCATAATGCTAAAGAGTTTACGCATCTGCTGTGAGACACCAAAGACTTTTAGAATTCTTAGACCATGACCTTTTTATAGACGCTCTGTATTTATCGCCTTCGGTAATGCTTTCTTCATCACTCATACGGCCTTTAGTATGGCGTTGCAGAAAACTAGCTCGCGAAGCTTGCCATATCCATAGCTCAGTGCATAGGACCAACTGCGACTTGTGAAAGATCAAATCTAACTTGTTGCTATTACAGTTATGGTGCATTATATCACCTGGCGTGCATTTCTACATTTCTGTGTGGCTTGGAATGATTATGTTTTGTAGAGTGGGTGCCCTGGAGACCGTACTTAGTGTTATTTTAAGAACCGGCCAGTGGATGTCAAATGCCCACCTTAAGATACCAATCTAAGCAAAAGGCGGTTCTCCGGTCCCGAAACGGACTGGGTGTGCGAATTATTCCGCTACTCGTAGGTCCACAGACCAAAATGCCTTGCCAGCTA